AAGGAAACAGCACAATTTTAAAAATATAGAAAAACACCCTGGCTGGTGTGGCTCAGTGGATTGAGTGCCGGCCTGTGAACCAAAAAGTCACCAGCTAGATTCCCAGTCCAGAGCACATGTCTGGGTTTCGGGCCAGGTCCCCAGTAGTGGGCAAGGCAACCACACACTGATGTTTCTCTTCCTCTCTTTGTCTTTCCCTTCTCTCTAAAACTAAATAAATAAAATATTTTTTTTAATTTAACAAAGAGAAAAACAGGATGTAACACAATTATAGCAGAACTTAAAAAGAGACCTATAAAATGTCATAGATTTATTAACCTTTGGAACTTAGAAAAAAAATGGGACAGTTTCCTAGAAAAGTAAAGATTACCATAACAGATTCAGGAAGAAAGGGAAGAGCTGAGCAATTCTGTAACTATGAGAAAGCTACTGACCAAAGGCTCTGCTTAGGATGGCTTGAATTTTAGTAATTTACAATTAGTTAAATAATGCTTACAGCTTTTCCTGTAGTTATATCTATCAGAAGTTGTCATTCAAAATAGTTTTGAACTATAGTCTGCATGGTATATTAATATGAATGTGAGATGAATAAATGGGATTCCAAGAAGTTCATACACACTATTATTCTTTTAGATTTTTGTAACACCTTTCCCATTCTTTTACAAGTATAGGATGGAGAAGAAATCAGGTGTTCGAAATCACCCCAACCACCCCAAATTCCTAGCTGGCCCATTTCTCAGGTGTAGTCACGAGGCAAAGGTGGAAAGCTCAGAAGCCCCTTGGGGACGTGTGCTGGTTTAAAGGAGCATCACCAAGCTTCAGGGGCATTCTAGAACCTGATTCTCTGTTATTCTAGATGCCCTCTTCTCAGACCCCCACTTTCATCAACCAGTAACGATGTGGACCAATAACCCTAAAATCCCTTCTGGCCCAAATCCAGTGACAGTGGTCCTAAACTTCTAAAACCTTCATCCACACACATAAAAAGCAGCATTTAACGTAGCCCTTTCCATCAAAATTAAAGCAGGCCTTCAGGAGCAGATAGATGCTTATTGATGCTGGATGATTAGCACAGGAAGGATCTTGGTACCTGCTACTTGGTTACCTATCTAAAATTTCCCTTAATAAAAATAAATTTAAAATAAGTAAATAAACACTTGTGGTTAGTGAATAACATCCTATACAAACGAAAGCAAATTTACACTTCAGAGGGTAAATTTGCTTCAGCAGAAGTGACATTGAACTTTACTGGCTCTACTTGCTGTCTTGGAACCCTGCTCTGCCATGGAGAATGAGCCCAGGCCGGCCTGCTGGAAAAAGAGACCACATGGGGCAGGCACCCAGCCACGCCCTTCCCAGGTCTGCCATCCACAGATGACCCCTGTGAACGCAAATCCAGGATCAGCTGAGCTGGGCTGCGCTTAGCAGAATGTTTGCTGCTGTATACATTTGTGAGGTTTCAGTTATTTGTTAGGCAGCACTGCTGTGGCCATAGATAACTAATACACTTGTATGAAATCACATGGGATACTTTTTATGATAAAATGATGAATATAGATTAAACATTTGTCCAAACCCATGGCATGTACAGCAAGAATGAACCACAATGCAAACTATGGACTCTGAGCGATAATGATTATACATTCATTGATTGTAACAAATGTACCACTCTAAGGGGATGTTGATAATGGGAGAGGCTGCGCATTCGTGCAGATGGGGTATTTGGGAAATCTCTGTACTTTTCCCTCGATTTTGCTGCGAACCTAAAACTGCTCTAGAAAAATTAAGTCCCTTTAAAAAATAATAAAACAGCCCTGGCTGGTGTAGCTCAGTGGATTGAGCAGGGGTCTGTGAAGCAAAGGGTCACCAGTTCAATTCCCAGTCAGGGCACATGCCTAGGTTGCGGGCCAGGTCCCCAGTAGGGGGCGTGTGAGACTCTACCACACATTGATGTTTCTCTCCCTTTTTCCTTCCCCTGTCTCTAAACATAAATAAGTAAAATCTTAAAAAAAAAAAAAAACACACACACACATGGGCCTTTCCATGGCTACTAGGCCCAGAGCACCCCAGCCAGTGGAGGAGAAGAGGCTGACATTTGTCAGCCTGCCCATCAAAGGCCCAGGTTTTCCCAGGCTCACTTCAGCTGACACACTTCTCTGCACCAGCCTCTTGGGCCTCAGTCTCCCTCCTCACCCCCTTTCCCTGTGCTTGATGGCCCTCAATGCACATCTGGAGACATGAGAACAGAACTCACTTTCTATTCTAACCAGTGCCATCAATGCTGAGGCCTGGAAAATGCAGGACGGGATGTGAACTCCACACAACTTGCTTCTCATTTTAGGGAGAGCCAAGTCCAAACTTTATACATCTTCTGTAACCTTCGGAAAACCACCACCGACAACACAACTTTTCATGTATCTGTCAAGATAAAGGTCCCCATCAGAACTACACATCATTAAAACATGGAAGCCCCTCAGGTGTAAGGGGGGATACCCTCCCATACTGGGTGTGTGGTACAGACTTCACTAGCCAACAGAGAGAATGGGTGGAGGGGCCTGTGAAAAATTTCCCAGAGGCCCTGGAATTTAAACATGCCCGAGTAGAATTACGTACATCAAGAAAGGAGTACAATACTTTAAATAATCTGGGCTTAAAATCTGGCTCCAAAGCTGTCTGACATTCCAGCTGCCCTCTGAACAGTGAAGACAGCATGAACACTTCCTTCGGCTGCAGTGCCATCCCAGAGCTGCCAGCACCTTAGAGATAGTAGGTGGAAGAGAAGAGTTAAGAAAAAGAATTACGGCAGCTTTCACTGTCCTTAGTTCAGAGGGAAGGAAACAACCACAACCTAACAGACATCAGGAGCACACTTGGACGGCTACTGGAGAATTAGCTGGCACATTTACATGCTGCGTACTAGACTATGCAATCCTTTTAGAGGAATCAACAGTTTAGAAGAAAAAGTATGAGCTGAGCCACGGCTAACATTCTACCAATCTCAGGACCAGGAAAGAACGTATTTTCTTAAACAAAACACATCTGACCCTTAGTTACTCAAACACAATGAAACATCAGTCAGCTAGGGCAGGGGCCCTTCTTAACCGACCAGACACCAGCAGCTCGACAAATAAGGCTCAGAAAAGCTGTAACGCTTTTAGAGACATTTTTTTTCCAGGAAGGTGGACATGGGCTGCACCTGCGGGCTGTTCCTTTTGTAGTTGATGCAATGAACTATCTTTCTCCACCAAAGCTCTGCGGCAGGGGTGTCCAACCCTTTCAGGGGTGTCCAACCTTTCTGGCGTCTCTGGGCCAACCGGAAGAAGAGCTGTCTTGGGCCACACCTTAAATACACAGACACTAATGAAAACAAACCAAAAAAAAATCTCATAATGTTTTAGGTAAATTTACAATTTTGTGTTGGGCCGCATTCATAGCCATCCTGGGCTGCACACCGCCTGCGAGTCTCAGGTTGGACACCCCTGCTCTAGGGCTTTCTGTGAGGTTTTTACTGCCACAAATCATGGTAACGTGTAGGCCACCCAAAGGGCTCTTGTGCCTGCCACTCCCTATTCCTAGATGCTCTCCCCAGATATCCTCTCTATGTCTTTGCTCAAATACCACCCTCAATCCCTGAACTCCTGGATGGCCCTTACCCAGCTCCAGGTGCTGCTGGCTTAGACTGAAGAGGAGGAAAGATCTTCCTAAGAAGGTGTCCCTAAGAGCCCGCAGGCAGTGAGTGAGTGAGTTTTGTGGCCTCAAGGTTGGACAACAGCATGCTGGAACCAGTTTGCTCCCCAGTTCCCTAGTTCTCACTCAGCTACCCCCCCCACGGCCACTCATCAGCCTCTCCTGCTTCCCCACCACACCACAAACAACTACACTGCACCTGCCTGCACTGCCTCCAAAGGTCTTTGCTTTACCTGAGATAAACCAACGGCACAGGGTCCCACCAGTTCCCAAGCCAAAAAAAAGCACCTATCTTCTGTCAGCTGTGGGCTCCTGAGCAAAAGCACTTGTATTCCCCGATTTGAGCTATGCTGATACTGCAGATGTCCCTTGGGCCCGGGAAACGTGACAATCAGGTGAGACCACTGCTTGTTCCTGCAACACAGATCAAGGGGCACTTGGCCTCTGTGATCACTCTGTGATTTTTCCCTCCACGTGCGTAATGGCTTGTGTTCTGGGAGCCAGTCCTCAAGTCTTTGCAAGCCAACTTTTTCTTTCCTTTCCTAAACATTTATTGCTGTCTCTGAGTCTTGGCACAACTAACCTACAGATACCCCGCGCATCTCTGCCCACCCCCCCCCACCCCCGCCTGCCCCACGGACCCGGGCAGGGGAGAAGGCCAGAGAGTGCGGTGGCCCTGGGGACATCAAGTCGGAGATGACGCTGGCTGGCTGGCTGCCGCGCGGGTCACCCGATGAAGGGGGCGGGGGGCGGGTAGCGGGCGACAAGCGTGAGATCTGGGAAGAAACTCCGAACCTGGGTAGCCCAAAGGAGCCGCTTCGCTCTCGGGTGTGGAAGAGAACGGCAGGAGGGGCAGCAGCGAAGGGCTGAGCGGGGCGGGCGGTTGGAGAGCTGGGAGGAAGGGGTTGTCCCTTACAGGCGAGAAGGGTAATGGTGACAGGGGATCCGGGTTGGAAGCCTCTCATTGGGATATGTCAACCTGGAGCGTGAGCCCCAGAAATGATTCAGGGACCAGAAGGTTGGGGGGGGGGGGGGCGGGAAACCAGAAGGAAATGATGTGAGAACAAGGGACTAGCTGAGTCTTCCGCGGGGTTGTGACCTCAAACAAATCTAACTGGCCCCACCCCACCTCCGACTAGGAACTGGCAGGCCACCCAAGGCTTCACTTGCGCCTTACGCCCAAAGAGCGAGAAAAAGGCGCTCCTCGCAGTGGAAAAGTCCCCGAGGGACCTGGACGAAGTCGGGATTCGCCTGGTGCGGGGAGTGGAAGGGTCGGCGGAGGAGACCCGAACTCTGCGGAGACGCCTGCTTACCCGGCCATTAGGATCGGTCTCCTGCACCTCCTCGACGCGCGGTCCCCGCCGCACCAGCGCCTTCAGCAGCCCCACGTCGTTGGTGCAGGCGGCGCTCAGGAGAGTAGCCGCCTCCGGGAAGCCCTCTGGGACTCCCTCCGGGATGCTCTCCGCACTCCCGCCGCTGTACTCCTCCTCGCTTAGGGTTGGGTAGAAGGAGTCGTCCGAGGCGATGCTGCGGGTGTCGGGCACATGCGAGAAGTCCTCGTATTCCTCATAGCTGGTGGGGTCTTCGCTGGCCTTCGTTTCCCGAGGTGGGGACGGAGGCTGCGGAGACACGCAGCGCCCCCCGCCACCCTCCGGCCCGGGCCCCGCCAGCAGCACCATGCGGGCGGTCGGCTGGGGCGCGGGCCGGGGGCCAGGGCAAGAGCTAGGAGCCCGGAACTCGGAAAAACCTACCGAGGTCACCGGCCCGTGTCCCCTGCGACTCCGGGAGCGCAGAGCTCCGCACGGTCCAGGCGGTGAAACTGGCGCCGCGCGGCAGCGCGTGGCCGACCAGAGCGACTAGAGGCCGGAGCGACTCCTCGGGGTGGGAGGAGTCGCCGGCCCGGCCAATGGCTGCAGCGCGGTGGGCGGGGACCCGCGGGAGGCGGCGCGGGCGGGCGTCCGGGGTTCCCGGCCCGCAGGAGTCCACAGCTGCAAAAGTTGAGAACCAAGCAGCGGCTTCTCCGCACCGCAGGGACAGTGCAACGGCTTTTTTGGCCCAGAGCTAAGAAGTAGTAACTGAAGAACCCGAAGAACGCCAGGGCGGAGGGCGGAGGGCGGCAGGCGGCCCCGCCCTCCCCTCCCGCAGCCACTGGGATGAGGACCGAGGTGGAGGTCGAGGGACGCCTGCGGCAGAGCCCACGAAGCTGATGGAGAACATCCAAACTGTGGGGGCCCGGTGCGCCCTTGGTGTCTCGTCTCCAGCACTGGGTGGGAAAGTTTCTCAGCGGAGGCATCGAACCCATTTGTCTCCTCAGCAGGACTCTAGGCTCCTGGGCTAGTCTCACTCAGGGTTTAAGACCTGGGAATCCCGGGGAATAGCAAGGGCACACTGGACACGGAGGATGAGTCGTTGTTGTGTGTGTGTGTGGGGGGGGGGGGTGGCCAGGGCTGCATTGGGACCCTGCAACTCTGAACTGAGAATTCCGAGCCGCCACGGGGAGGTCTCAACTTGGAAGTGAAGATCCGCAGGCCCTCCCCTCTCAGGTCGCGCAGAACCCGGGCCACCAACTGTGGCTTGCATCTTGCGCCTAAAAGAGCGACTCTGGCACAGGGTTCACAAGCCTCAGGGGGAAAGTTTGGGTGGGAAGAGTCTGCTCCCGGCCAGAGCCGAAACGATTTCCCTTCCCCCACCCCTGCCCGACGTCAGATGTCACCGATCCTGGGACTGGAAGTCGGGAGGGATCACCGGATGAGCCTGGGGCAGGGCGCTGACTCCTCCGCTGGCTGCCAAATACACTGAGCAGGGCCAGGCCAAAGGCGACGGCCTGTGAGCCGGCCCAGCGCAGCCCTCCCGCGCTTAGCCTTGCGCCAGGAGCCCCTGACCTCCGTTCTGGATCTTCGCGGAAAGGCTGTGCCTGCGGGCGCGGTAGCAAGGGCACACCCCCAGCCTGGACAGGGTGTGCTGCCTGCAAAGAAACTTTGCGGGTGGGAACAATGAGGTCACAGAGGAAACACCACTCCTCTCATTGTCCCATCTCCCTCCTTTCCTTCCTTTTTTTAACCGCTCTTGATATCGCGCTCACTGAAAAGTTTTCTGAGGCTCTGCGGTAAAAAAAAAAAAAATGCCGATCAGCCACAAAGTTAGGCAATATAGAGCATTACTGGAGTTTGCGCATCCAGGCGAGGTTCCCCAGCCCACAGAGTGGGGCTGCAAGTCCCGCCCAAGCAGGGAATGTGAAGGGGGGGGGGGTATTTTCATTGGCTCTCTTCTGGGGAGCTGGGGATTGGTCCCCTTTGAACAAAGTGGCAATATATCATTGATGGTTCTCCTGCTCAGGTTGCTATGCAGATAAAGCCCGCCCTTTCATTCTCTGGGTTGACATCAGCCGACTTTTCTGGGCTGTAATTCAGCCGCCATTTTCTGTTGTAGTTCAGCCGCCACTGTGCCCTACCCCACCCATCCTAACACTCACCAGTTGCCAAATCTCCAGGCGCAAAGGTGAAAAGAACAGGTAGATGTACCAAGTAGGGACAAACCTGGGTGGGCAAGCTAAGGGCCACAGAGGGAACCATGGTCACAAACACCCCAGGTGGGAGTGAATTAGGAGGCCTATTGGGCCTCCGGTGTTACTCGGTGGCTGCGGCACTGCTCGCCCATGGGAGCCCCCCGTGTGCCTCCAGTGACCTCCACAGAGCCCAGGAGAACAGTGACTTCTGGTGAAGGCTACATGCCTGAGTGCACCCTGAGCTGCAAGTGACCTCAGAAGCACTGGCTTCCTCCCCTACTAGGGGCTTTCTTTCCAAAGCCAAAAATAGCCCAAACCATGGTTTGCTTTTTATACTTTTTTCTATAACTGGCCATATTTACATAAATTCCCACTGGGAATTTCCCCCCTTTCAAGGTTGACTGTTCTTCTGGTGTTTCCAGAAGCTTATGTGAAATCAGAGAATTTACAAGTTGCAATGCTCCCCTCCCAGAGCAAAGTTGGGTTTGCGAGCCCCCTCCTTGCCAGGGAGATACTGCTCTGTGCCTCTGTGTGGTATTAAAGTGACAAGGGTCAGGGACAGGGTCCCAGGTGGATGGGGCTGGGGGTCCTTTGGGCAGCTGCAGCCTTGGAGTGAAACACTGGCCAGCCCTTCGGCCCTCACCACCCAGTCACCAAGGCTCAGAATTCAGGCTCTGTCTTCAAATGCACCGTTTCCTCCTTTCCCTCTCAGAAAGTTGAGTCCAAATAGCACTCAAGAGGTTTTTCCCTTTAAAGATAAACTTCTAGGACAGACCTTTCCAAATAAGAGCTAATGGTTTGTGAGTGATGCAACTCCAAACCCAAGCCAGTCATTTTCCAGGTTTAGAAATGACCCCCCACCCACCACCCAGCACCTTGTGACACCAGAAGCTCCAGAGGCCTCGGAGGTCGTGCCTCCAGCCACCTTCTCAACCACCCTGGGTAATTTTACCACAGAAACAATTGATTTCCAACACTGCTACAAGAACACAAAATTCGGCACAGGTAGTAAAGTCCACATCTATTTATTATGTGCACAAAATCTACACAAGGGGAGAAAGCACTTAATCAAAATTGCCAAAGTACTCAGAATAACTTTTAAATCAATAACATTTTGAAAAATTGACTCCAAGAATTTATCATTTCAATGAACTATTTTAATTTATGATTTTAAAGTTCATTATGATTAATATATATCAATTACACAAATTGTTGGATTAGTTGAAAAACTTGTTCTTGGGCCATTAAAAAAAAATTAAGCGCTTCAATTATATTTCTGGAGCAAGCCATGTAACTGCACCACCTACAAGAGGAGAATCTTTCAAACCTGCAGGCAATGTGTTTGAGGACTGGAAAGGGGACACCCCTGGAGTGGCGCTCAGCCAAATTTTGTTTGGAAAGAGAAGTTGGGGAAGGGGTTCCTAATGGTGGAGTAAACCCAAGCCCACCCCACCATTCCTAAAATATTAGAGTCCCACCCCTAGGGCTAGAGTGACTTTAAACTTTGCATGTTTGGAATTCAGCACACCATACGTGTTAACTTCCATTACTACTAAAATTAAAGCACCCATCGCCCTGATAATATAACCTGCTTTGCAGAAGCTGCTTCTCCAAATTTGTTGCCCTATTTGCAGAGAGAACTAGCCTTTATGAATGAAAAAGGCCTTTTTTTTTTCCTGCATGGGAGGCAGCATGGCTTAGGCTAAAGAGCAGACTGGTCGTCAGACAGATTTCCAATTATGGCTCTACCACTGTTATGCTACAACCATAATAGTGATGTCTATTACTACAGGTTTCCCAGTGTTTATCTGACTGATCACCTACTCTTTTTCCCCCCACAATTTTTAAAGAAATCTTTTATTTGGAGATAATGCGACATATCCCTTGTGCCTTGCACCCTGCTTCTCTGGCACTAACATCTGCAGAGGCAGAGCCACAGCCACCATCAAGGGCAATTGGCCTTTTTAAAGATCAGAACCACACGCAAACACTCTGATTTGTTACAGTTAATGATACAAAATATGGAGGAACCAACTGTTACATTCTTTAAAGGCTAATTTCCCCCAACCTCTCTCACTCGGCCAAAACATTGGGCTAAACTAACAGGTGAGTGATAGATACATTGGCTGCTGCAGAATGGAACAATGGTAAACTTCCCCCCTTCCTGTTGTTTGCAGTACCCTGGTTAAAATGGGTATTTCAGAGAATTTGCACATCAACAATTCAGGAGGCTGCTGCTTTGATGGACCATATAAGCTCCTATGAAACCACAGTCATGCCCTGGCTGGCATGGCTCAGTGCACTGAGCACCAGACTGTGAACTGAGGGGTCGGGTCGCTGGTTCGATTCTCAATCTGGGCACGTGCCTGGGTTGCAGGCTGGGTCCCCCAGTTAGGGGCATTCAAGAGGCAACTTGTCACACGTTGGTTTCTCTAAGGCTATAAACACATGTTGGTTTCTCTAAGGCTGTAAAAACCATTCTCCCTCTCTTTCTCCCTCCCTTCCCCTCTCTCTAAAATATAAATAAATAAAATCTTTGAAAAAAACACAAACACACACAGCCACATGCCCATGAGTTGGGAGACTCCATGGAACATCGAGGGCTTTGCAGGGAGTGGGCACGTTGCGCCCAGGGGTCCTGGCCGGGGCTGGCACTGTCACTGATGCTGAGGCCGATGCCCAATCACCTGGTCTTCATATTTAGGGTATTTCCAGCATCTTCTGACTGTACATACTGTCCAGGTATTTCTAATGCAACCTTATTCAGGTATCCTAAGAATCACCCATATCAAATGGCCTGAACTTTTTTAACTCCAGCATTTTCTTTATTGCTGTATTCCAGTGGTAACCCAAAGTCTAGATGATGAACACCCCCCCCAAAAAATGTGTAAAAACTGTCCTAAGGGAAAGAGACATGAATCCATGGAGAGCCATACCACTGGTGTTCCATTTTCTCGCTCCTACTTTCCCTCAGAACTCATCTTCAGGGATGGAGATTGGAGGAGCTCATTACCTTCTGAGGTTTGCAGCAGGCTCCTCCAGCTCTCTTGGTCCCTATAAGAGAAATTAGATGTGATGGGAAGGGGGAGACATCTCTTAGTCACCCACTTTTTAATTTAAAATTAAAAAAGTTTTAAGTAAAACAAAATTATTTAGCTCGGAGTTTTTGCAAACTTTCCTGAGTTGACTGCTGAAAGTGGAAGCAGCCTAGAGTATCCTGAAGTCAATCTACAAAACTGCGAGCCAGTGAGCCAGTTTGCCTTTCTGTTCTGCTTAGAAATACAAAGACCAGTCTCTGTGTATATTTTTGGATCTCCCCATTAAAGAGGTTACCAGCTCTTTGGCCCTACCCCAAT